GGGCCACTTCCGGATCAAAATGATCCATCGGAAGATCGAGTCAACAGCTGGCCAAAACAGGAGTCTGAGCTGGGAAGTCATAGAAATGGGGTATTTGGCAGCAGTGCTTTGGTTTGGGGTAGGGCATTTGATTGGACAGTCACTTGGAGATGACTTAAGAAGGTCACAATCTCCAAAGCGAAGAAGCCAACAAAGCCCTGTTCTTTACCAACACTTGCCAATGACGCATGATCTGGTATTACAATTATATAAATATACTGTATATAGATTTTACTTTATGTGATGTATTATCATCCATTTTTGAATCTGTGTTTACTTAGTGCTTTAAGAACAGGCCACCGGATCCGCTGAGGCATCCGATAGCCTGGTCCAGGCATGGGTGGCGCACGAGGCCGTCTATTTGGCGCTCATGGGGCACTTCACCAAGTTGATCGATTATATGGCATCTCGGATCATCTCTTCTTGTTACTACCAATAAGGCACCTGTTACTACTAGCGTGGCACTTGTTCCTAGTAGCTTCCTATTATATGGCATCTCGGATCATCTTGGATAATCTTAGCATCTCTTCACATATCTTAGTATCGGCACAGCCATGGCCCCGATGATGCCCCAAGTGTTTCAGCACTGTGCATTGCGTGTTTGTGTGTGACTCATGACCGTCACAGATGATTAGGTGCGGATGGTGGACTAGTGACTAGGTGGAACAAGATATTTCATACGTATATATGCTACACCCCTGCAATGCTCACCACGTGCTGGACTTCCCTCAGCTTGCATCAGGCTCCGTCCTTGTGGAATCTCATCAAGTGTATGAATGGCGAGTTCTTTGGATGGGAGGTGCAACATGGGATAGGGTGCATCCAGGCTTTGAGGATGACATGTGGCCCAATCTGTGGGGCAAGAAGAACAAGCACGCCCTGGAAGTGTATTCCTGCTTCATGGTGCAGGGCCGCCCATGCTATGGAGAGTCTTGTCATGTTCATGCCGGTGCCCTTGGGATTGTATTCTGACCTTCTCCCAACATTTACCCTATCTGGCCTGCATGCCGTAAAGCTTTGGTTTTGGTTAGGAGACGCCTGTCACTAGCCCAGCCAGGCGGATGCCAGCAAGATCCGCAAACTCTTCACCGCATGCACTGGGCCATTTGGCCCAGTACCTCGTGAACTTTGGCAGCAACGAGATCCCACCTGGCGCATCACGGATGAACGGAATGCTGTGTGCATGGTGGTGCGCACCCAAGGCCTGGCCCCGGGGATGATGCGGGAAGAAAGGTTTTTTCCTCAAAGCTAGCTAGACAAGGAAACATGATAAACAACATTTGAAGCAAAGCACTTTTCCATGTGAGTGTCTTTGAAGGTCGAGCTGTGTGGGCACTTTAGGCGACCCCTCCCCTTGCTAGCAGGACGCTTGCTGTGGAGCAAAGATGCCACCGCCGCGCCTATGCGCACCGTGCTGCCAAAACGCTCGGGGCCATCAGGACCAACGCGTCCAATGCTGGATTTTATGAGCCGCATGGCTCAGAAGCTTTGCTGCACCCTGTGAACTGTGAACAATGCAGTCGGAGGATTTGTCTCACCCACACCAGCTGCGAAAGAAAAGGGAGAAGCATGCAGCATGTCATCAACCATATCCTGGCAGATCTTCTATGTTTGCTTCCTTGTGTCGATGCTGAGTGCCACTGTGAAGCGTCGGAAGTCACGGTGGGTCTGGATAAACTCATGGTGCAAAAGAGTACATTCCGAGCAGAAAGTCACAACAAAGGCAGACAATGCATGACTCAGCGAGATTCTCTCACTGGCTTTCTCATTCGTTCGTTGAATACTTTAATAAGTGCAGCATTTTCAAATTTGTTTCTCGAAGAAGACGATGGGGAAGCGCCTGATGGTCATTAAGGCTTCTCCAATTCATCCAACCACTTTCTAGTATGTGTCCAAGTTTTATGGTTAATGTGGAAACCCAGCTATTCTGCAGACCCAAGATCCGGAGCCCTTTTCCTCAGGACCTGCGATTGTCCATTTGCTGGTGTCGTTTCTGGGGGAAGTCGACTCTGGATTCACACTTTTTGGAGATTTTGGATTCCCTGCCCTTGAATCAGAGCCATCCAAGCACCTCCTGAGTCGAAAGGGTTCTGGACCATTTCAATCAAATCTATGATTTTGCGATACGCCGAGTCTTGGGCGTTGGGTGTTTTCACATTGGCCAGTAACCAGTACTAGTATATAGCTCTTGGATGTAGTGTGCTTGTGCCATGCTGAAAGTTGCTATGGTTGGTGCCAACCAGCAGGCGTGATCTGAATCCAACCAATGAATTTGTTGGCAATGAGGCGCGCCTCAGTTTTCGCAATGCCTGATGCCAGGGCGTGCTGGTGAACTTTGGTGGAACTTGGATCTTGGCTGGTTGCCCCCCTGATGTCGGTGCGCTCCTCATGCTGGATCATCGATGTTTGGGAGGGTTGGAGCATGGGATGCGATCTCCGAAGGCCACATATACCAAGGAGTTATATTTGTTTTTGTTTCTTCCTTTTATGTTATTTTTGTTTCTATTTGCGATGGCCTCCAACCAAATATATAGCAATGGCCTCCAACCTACTAGCAATGACCTCCAACCTACTGGGGAGTTATGTTTTGAGTTGAAGGTTTGGACATACAGTTTTGGAGATGCAAGCAATGCAAGGAACCCCCAAGAACCCTTGCCCATGAGGCTCTAACATTGGAGCTGTGTTTTGGTGAAGTGCCCCTGGCAGGTACTTCGCTCAGACACTTTAACATCAACATGTCCCAGGTGGCCGCCGTGCTGTTGACTTCTGGTACTTGCATGGAGGGTTGGCCCCTGCTCCGCCGGCTGGGGCACCAAGGGTGCTCTTTATCATACCGGCCGTCAACGTGTACAATAGAGTTGCAAAGAAATCACAATTTTCTCACTTTGTGGTTGGGTTGGTGAATTTGCTGTGGTCCATATGACTGCTGTTTGGCTAAGAGAGAGGCTCTGAGGCTTGTGGCCTTTCATGCCACACCCTCCTTTGCCCACGCCATGGCTGAAGAAGCCGAAGGAGAAGAAGACAATTCTCTAAAGAGGAACTGCTGCAGCCGCATGCGTAAGAATCTGACTGAACCGCGCGGTCATTCTGGACATTCATATCTCCGAAGCCTGGCGTAGGCGAGCAGGCTGGTTGTGACCTTGCTGCGTAGTCAAGCATACAGTACATGTTGAGTCGCAAATGCGCGGGCAGTCAAATCCAGGTTTCAAGGTTTCAGTCAACTAGAGTAGATGTTGGCGTGCCTGTGTGTCAGTCCAAACCAATCCAGGTGATACCTTGAAAAGACTTCTAGATGTGGAATTCCTAGACACTGTGAATCTCCTCACTGTTTTGTTTGTTGCCTTTTCTTCCTCAGTTTCCTTCAATGCTTCTAAGTGGCGACTGGCTTGGGCTGCATAAAGAGTTTTACCAGCAGCTAGTTGTGGTTAGGCAACCTGATGCTAATTACATGATTGTGTTGGTGGGCTGTTGGCTGTTCATGGCCAGCAGGGGACGTAGAAGGTTCTCTTCCACAGGGCCCTGAGCAGGTTTGCAACCCAATTTTTGGTTGAACTTTCTGAACGGCATGTGGTGCGCCGATAATTCACGGATTGCTCACGGATGACTCACTCACCAAGGAAAGTTTCGATTTGCGCTGTCTCTCTTCAGCTTGTTCCACATCTTGGCGATCATTGGTTCAGCCAAAGATGTGTACTTAGAGAAATTTGGAGCTGATGCGACGGCCATTGGCTGCTTGTTCTCCGCAACTTTCCCAGAAAAGTTTTGACATCAAACTGTGAGCCATGCTTGAAGGTAACCCTTGTGGTTGGGCCTGATCAGCAGTAAGGCACTCACTGCAGGCTTTCATCAGGTCAGCGACTGGCGGTGTTTCAAATGTCTGTAAGTGGAATTTTGGCAGCCCTCCCACATCACATGATCATGATCTCAGGTAATCAGTTTCTGGAGCCCTTTGACCGAATTCTTGGTTGGGCACCTGCAGGACAGCATGATTGGTTCGTCACGACGTGATCTGGCAAGCTCACATCACACGCCCTGTTGATAGTAGATGGGCAAAGGGCAATCAATTGTTCGATCATATGGTTGCACGTGCTGGCGCGTTGCCGCACTTTTCAGCTCTAACTTGCGGCACTGCTATGCACATTCAGGATCGTGCTTGCTTGGCCCGGTTCTTCCCACTGGAACGCTGGGGCAAGAGAGCACCCTGGCTCCTGACCCATTGCATCATTGCAGCCACTGCTGCGAGTGTGGTCTACATGCCACCCAGCCACTTGTCAAGATTATCGAGAGGTTAGAGGTTGGGTTGTTTACAGTAGTGGCCTTCCGACAGGCTCGTCCGCGCCAGCCTAAAAGAATTGCAGGTCAAGGTTGTCAAGCATGGTTGTCGTGAAGTGCATAACATGTGATGCAAATGGTGCTTAAACAAAGGCTAGACATTTCTTGCACCAGAGGACTTCAAAAGCCTAAGCATGTATGCTGGGAACTTCATTGCTGGCGAAGATTGCTACCATTATTGCTGCCAAGGTGATTCTTCCGGACCTTTGGAAACCTGGTTTGTTGCGCGGCTGGTCAGGGTCGGTCTTTTTGTAAGGTCAGGCTTTCACTCAGACTGATTTGAAGCTGACTGGAGTGCATCCAAGAGACCTGCGTGTTTCAAACAATATGTTCCAGTCTCGCATGGACACCAAGGTGCTGATGTTGATGCTGTCATATTGGGGTGCGGCCTCGTGCGTTATTGCTTTTGAATCAGCTCGCCAGGAGGGCCTTGTCTTTGAATCTTGTGCTTTTGGATCCACGATTCAAGCCTGGCCAGCCGCGGTGTTGGAAGGAGATCTACCCTTACAAAGAGGAGAGGATCATGGTTGAAGGCGATGTTGGGGGATTTCTATCTTCCGTTCTTTATTTGTCACTCAGCTTAGCCAACCACGCTTTGCAGGCCTGTGCAAGTACACCTGTATGATGGGCGGCGGCTTTGGAGCCATTCCAGTGCTGGTTCTCATGGCGGAAACTGGGCAGCTCAATGTTTTTAGGAAGTTGGGACTACATATATGATTTCACTGCAGCAGGCCATGACTGCTTCTTGCATCGTAAAGTGGCACTGAGGATGCATCAATGCTAAATCGCTTGGCAGCGGTCTTCTACATTTTCATTTTTGGTCTAGTGACCCTGGAGGCGTGCAGAAGCAATAGGAGAACCGATCATGAGGTAAGTCTAATCTTGTTGGTTCAATCTACCAAGACAAGCTTATGACACTTTGAGATCAGATGTCCTACAAGTGCTAGATGCTTCTTGGTCAGTCCTTGTTGCCTATCAGTGTGAGCCGTGCGAGGCGGTGCCAATCTTCAAAGAAGCTAAGCAAGCACCAGTCCCCATCAAGGCAGCCAGCAGACGCAGCCAGCAGAAACAGCCAGATGTGTTGATGCCATGGCGTTCAAGCAGGGCTCGAGGGCTCAAACCCGCACCAAGTTATCAGCCAAAATCTAAAGGTTTGAGCCTGTGAGGTTCTAGCTTTTGGTACTAGCCACTTCACATCCAGGAGGAACAAACATAATCCGGAGCAGGGATATTCGTGACGCTGTGTGCCTCCAGGACCAAGATGAAGAGGTCAGTGCGCCTGAGGTCGGAAGCGTTTTCGACATTATGCGAGAGGTGCCAGGGGAGTTTCTGCAGATGTTCAGGGTGGTGTCGGAGCCCAGCCGTTTTTGCAGACTCGTCGGACATGTTCGAGATGGAGCATGCAAGATATTAAGATTGAGCAACAAAAAACATAAAAAAAACCATTATTTTCCTCAGCTGAGCCTTGAAGAGCCTACAACTGCCAAATTAATGCACGATTTGTCAGATCCAGTGACCAGTGGCTGACTACAGGTGATGCCCCGATGCTGTTGCTGCCCAAGGAGGGTAAAGGACGGATTCTTGTGCGGTCTTTTGTATACTGTATTTGGTAGTTCAATTATTGAGCCTCTTTGTTCTTGTCTGCTCAGACTTGTGCCTAGAAGATTTTCCTACAGTGGTGGCGCCTCTGCTTGAATGAATCATGATACTGCTATGGGCTAGGAGCAAAGAGCGCCTAACATGGCATTCCGCCACCTGGTAGCCATGAAGTGTCTTGGAGATGAACGGGAATGTATCATTGCTTTTAGTCTGCTGTCGTGCTTGTCCTGGTGTGTTCTCAAGTATTATATGTCTTGGGGTCATGTGCTGCCGTTGTGTGTGTGTGTGTGCGTGCGTGTGCGTGGGTGTGTGTGTGTGTGTCACCTCCTGTTTCAAAGGAACTCGATATGTACAGCAGCAGGGGGGCAGTGGTCCTTCCAGCAGTCGCTGCCTGACAAAGACACTGCTGATCGGATGTGAAATGACTTTGGGACGCCAGAGTCATGTACCTGCAGTAACTGTTTAATCCCCTCTAAAGTAGCCACGGGCCCGAACTCCTTACAGCGGTGTGGTTTAGTCGGCGGAACTTCGGGTTAGGTTCATTCGTCCATGGAGTCGATCATTTTCGGCGATCCGCCTCTTTCAGAAGGCGGTGACTGGACAGGGGTGATCAGGTTGGTGGAGGCCGACCTCGGCGACTCGTCGATGTTCAAGGCCCAGCTGATGCCTTGGCTGCACGATGCCCTGCTGCTTGGCTGGAATCAGGGAGGGGATTGCCGCCATTGGACTCTCTACCACTGGGAGATTGCTTGCACCGAGCCGCTGTGTCTGCGGCCAGGAGCAATGAGTGCTGCCCTGCCTCGTGACTTGGCTCTTAAGAAGTTTTCATCTTTGGTGATCGAGCTGTGCGCTGGCAGCGGATCCATGGGATTGGCGGCTTCATTTGCCGGCGCCGAAGTTGCTGTTAGCATCGATGTCTCGACCTATGCTGCTGATCACCTTCGTGGCAACTCGCATGGAGTGGTCATCGAGGCAAGCTTGGAGGACCTTCAGACCATCTTTGAGACGCACCTGCGCCTTGGTTCTCGCTCGGCAACAGCATTCCTGGGGTTCCCATGCCAACCCTTTAGTGCACAGGGCTATCAACGTGCTGAACTTGACCCTCGCTTCAACACATTGCTCTTTGCACTTCGTGCTGCTTGGCTCTTGCCTGTCCAGGCCTTGATTGCTGAGTGTGTCCCTGCAGCAGGACAGAATGAGTTCGTGTTGAGAGCATTCAAGCTCCTCAATGATGCCAGAGGCTGGGAACAAATCCAATACGAGTTGGACCTCAAGATGCAATGGCCTATGAAGAGACTCAGGTGGTGGTGTCTTTGTGCTCCGGCTTGCTGGTTAGCCGGACCATTCTGCCCATGGCCAACCGAACAGACGTACTCCACGATTGGTTCACTGCTCCCTGTTTGGCCAGCTTGGGATGTGGACGAGGAGACTGACCTTCTCCTCACTGAGCATGAACACAGGACCTTTGGCGATGAGACTTATGGGGACGACCAGCGGTGGTTTGGACCGCAGCACAGCCTGCCCACATTGCTTCATTCCTATGGCACGTGGTTCACCGCCTGCCCTTGCGGCTGCAGGGACACTGCTATGTCCGAGGCCTCCCTTCGTTCACGTGGAGTTCGTGGCTTCTGTGTTACTTCCACCTTGACCGGCCAACCTCGGCTGCTACACCCGGCTGAAGGCCTCCATGACCTTCATGCAAGGGCCAAGGGACTCACTCCCACTCCTGGGCAACGTGGCCTCACCGTTACAAGCTTTGTGGGTTTACTCGCAGCTTCTTTCCCCTGTCCACAAGATGTTGCCTGATTTCTATGCCATCTCGCCAAAGATTGTGCTGGACCACTTCAAGGCTGAGCTTCTTCGCCAATTCCACTCACAGCATCATCTCGACGTTCCTGTGAACAGCCTGCGCATTGCAGCAGAGGATGGCACTACAGTCACATTGCTAGCTCCTGGCAATGCTTTGGTTGCTGACCTGATCAAAGCAGAACAGCTGCTCCTTCACCCGGGGTCTTCTGATTGCATCATCACTCGTGTCGAACGGCTTCTACCTCTCCCTGAAGGCAGATGCTACCGGGTTCGCACGGATGGACCATACGCCAAGGTCACACCGCAGGAAGCTATTGTTCTTGCACTCCATGATGCACATGCTCACTTGGTGGAATTCTTGCATGCCGGGCAGTTCTTGTTTGAGGCACTTGACCGTACATGTTTCGCACAGGCCCAGCTCTGTGTTGATCCTGCAGGACGGCTCTACACGACGAGACACTCGCATTTGGCAATCCATGCGGCTTCGCATCCTCTGCCATGACGACTTCCCAACTCTCAGACTTACTCCACGGCTGGCAGCATCCTCTCCGGCGCCGGACTTTCGTCCACCTTCAGCGGGCTCTGCATTGGGCCCTGCTGACAGCACTGCCTCCTTGGGATTGGGAGCGATGGCCATTGACTCTGCCCTTCACAACTTGATTGAATTCCTGCCGAACCAGCAGCAGAAAGGGCTTTGGCTGATTCCTGCCGCAGTGGCCTCACGTTTGGCTGCCGGTCGAATCGTGGAGCTGTCACGGCAACAAACCACCTTTCAGCGACTGAGCACATGTGAGTGCCTCTGTGTCTTTGCTGCCCAGGGTCATTGGGCGCTGCTATGGGGACGTCGGGTCGGCTATGGATTTCATTGGACTTACTTTGATCCTTTGCACGATGGGCTTCGCTCTGCAGCATTGGACTTGGCTGCGCTACTTGCCGACTACCTTGGCAGTTCCGTGGGCTCCTTTGACCACTGCACACTGTACCAGCAGACTGACGATTTCTCATGTGGCACGTTGGCAATTCTTCATGCAGCTGCGGTTCTTGGCCTGCCTGGTCGGCTGGCACCAGCATCCATTCATGGGCTTCATCACTGGCTCCTGGCACATTCGGCTCCTTCGCAACCGGTCGCCGGCGGTACAGGCGACACTACTACTACCAAGGCCCTGGCTGATCTTTTGGTGGGGCATGGCGTCTTCCCTCATGAGGGCATGGAGAGAGCTCGTGCAGTGATTAGCAAACTTGGGACTGCCACAGTGCAGAAAGCTTTGGAAAGCAATTAAGGATGTTGTGGCCAACGGAAGGGGGATAGCATTTTGCACACCTGCTGACGCCCGACCATTCGTTGAAGCTACTCAAAGTATGAGTGCAGATGCGTTAGCACTTCTGGTGGTGCCCCAGCTGCCATCTACAATGTGCGCTGCTGCTCGCATCTCTTCTCTCCGATTTCCGGCCACCTATGGCCCCGCACTTGAGCCCATGCTCATCCAGGGAACGATGATTTGCCTGGGGGATGTCGATGTGCACCGTCACTACGGCGCCCCAAACACCAAGCTGGAGGTCATCCAAACGGCCGTGTTCAAAGTCGTGATCTATAGAGACGAATTGGCGATCGCTTGGGCTGACCTGGCCAGACAGCCGATTCGTTGCTTGCTTCAGCTTCTTCCCACCTTACAGCTGTGCAAAGGCACTGGGTGTGGCCCGGATTGCGCTTGCTTTCATGCGCCGGTCGAAGAAGAGCTGGACAGTGTGATACAGGAAGTGTGGGCGCGCAAGTTTTTGGCCACGAATGGGAAGGTTGCAGACCCTGCGCATGCAGATCTTTTCCAGTTTTACCTTCGGGTAGCCCATTCCGCTCGCAAGCAAGTGCTCCAGATGACAGCTGATGGTGTTTATGTCGAACCCCGGAAGCTTGACCTTTCTGGAACCGATCCTCTCTACTCTGTGGTTTGGCTTCCGAAAGCCGACAAACCCACGGCCATCAGGGCTCTGAAATCCCTTGAAGCTGCTCAAGCATTGGTGCGGGTCAAAGATCGGTTCGGCATCAGGGTCCTTGCCAAAGATGCTGCTGCTGCTTACCAGGCCTTGCGGCCTGACATGCCGTTCGTCGATGTCAAGATCTCTAAGATCTTTCGGCTTCACCCAGTACCGCATGGAGTCCAACGACAAGTCCTCCTCAAGCTCTTCAAGGAGTGGGGCTGGGCTGCCAAGCCTATGCAACCTGCACGTGGTTCTGCTGCCGGAGCTGCTTGGGAGGTAGGGGCATCGGACAATCCGCCCAAGCCTATCATGCCTGGATTTGGGGCTGACATCTTGATCAGTGAGGTCAAGGATCGCACCACTGCCTCTGTTGATATGCCCACAGTGATTTCTTCATGCCATCCACGCAAGTTGCAGCCGCTGAAGACAAAGTTGGGGGAACGACCCGCCACTGAGGATCCTTGGACAAAGCGGGATTCCGATCCATGGGCCAAATGGACCGCCTCTTCTTCGAGCACGGTCACGCAGGGCACCTCCAGCAAAAAGCACATCCAAGAGCTTGAGACTCGCCTGCAAGCCTCTGTCCAAGATGCTGTTCGTAGCCAGTTGGAAGAGCATGCAGCGGACTCTGCCATGTCTGTTGACATTGACTTGCATGCCTATCAGCAGGAGACCGATCAACGCTTTCGAGTCCTGGAGGCCGGCCTCGGAGAGCTCAAAGCACAAGGAGAGCAATTTCGGGGGTGGTTCAACGATGTGCACTCCGGCATGGATCAGATGGGTAAGCAGGTGGCCACGCTACAGAGTTCTACGGACAAATTGGCGGCCTCCATTGATCACACCATTCACACCGCCTTTGACAGCCGCTTCACACAGCTGGAAGCAATGCTCTGCAAACGATCCCGAACTGATTGACTAGGGCTGGCCAGACAGAGGCCTCTGATCTCTGTGCTGGCATTCATATCCTTTACTTTGCTTTGCTTTTGGCACGCTCTGGGGTGTGGAGACTGCCATGGCTATGCTCAGTGTTGCTACGATGACTCCCGAAGTGGTCTCATCCAATCCTCACTCCCTTGGCTGCTGCTTTGGGCCTTGCTCTTCTCCGAGCACAATCCTTTTGGGGCTGAACTGTTAGTTCACTACGGCCTGGGCATGGCTCCGGCCCTGCCTTCTCCTTTTGAGACTACAACTTCAAAGCATTGGAGTTCCTCAGACGTTGGCCCCGCCTGCTTCCAACTCCTACCTCATGGCCTATATCATGCCTTTCACGCCTCCTGGTGCTTGTGGCTTGCATTTCAGGAGTTTCGGGACACCATATCCGGATCGGTGAGGCATCTGTTCCTGGCCCCAATACTCTGCGGCTCACTACGTCCAATCCCTCGGG